CAAAGATGCAAACTGTGGCATGTTTTTCATATTTGGGTCACCTTATCCAAAAAAAGACACACTGTGCCCCAAACTGTTCTGATCTAGTTTAATCACCTGCAACCCCAACTGATTTTCAGGCTTTACTTTGCAATATTAATTGGCTCCACCAAGCCCTTAAGCTAACAATTCATGATTTAGGCTCTCTCTTTGACATTCTCGAGAGGGAACTGGCCCTCACCTCTCCAAGAGGATGAAACTTCTTTAGATAAAGTTAATCTGGCTTTTTCTAATGCTCAACTTTCTAGAGTTGATCTATCCTTGCCAATGTTTTAATTATTTTCCCAACTCAACATATGCCCACTGGGGTCCTTTGGCAGTCTCAGGGTCCTTTACAATGGCTACATATGCCACATGTCCCACAAAGAACTATTATCACCTTTCATGGTGCTGTGGAAGAACTCGTCACATGTGGGTAAACATGCTCTGTTCAGCTCTTTCATTGTGAGGTGCAAACTCTCATTGTTCCCCTTTCTTCAGTTCAACAACAGAGGTTGTGGCAAATTTTGTCCTCTTGGCAATCTGCATTAGCTAACTTCCCTGGTGTTATTGTCATTATTATTCAGACAAATTAATTCAATTTGCTTCCCTCACACCCTTTGTCTTTCCTTCAAAAATAAGTTCAGTCCCTATAGCTGGTGGTGTCTCTATTTTCATAGATGAGTCATCTTTGGGCAGAGGAGGTTATGTAATGGCTTTCTCTTCCAGAATACAGGATATGAGTTTCTCTTCTGCACAAAAGACTCAATTACAAGCTGTCATATGAGCCTTGCAAGATTATTTATCTACTCCAATTAACATATTTTTAGATAGTGCTTATGTCTACAGTGTGATGTGCCACATTGAAATTACCACTACACACACTGGTCAAGACCTTCTGCATTTATTTCACACTCTCCAATTTGTCATATGGTTGCATCATGTTCCCTGTTTTATCAGTCATTTATGTTCCCATTCCAAACTGCAAGGGCCTCTCACTGAGGAAAATGCTGCTATAGAGATTGTTGGCTGCTGTCACCGTTACTCCCCCAGATAGCGTTCAACAGGCTTCTGCCTCCTATGCCACCTTTCATCAGAATGCTTCTAGACAAGTAGGTCCATTTAACCTGGGAACAGTCTCAACAAATTGCTAAACAATGTTCCTCATGTGTAATACATCTTCCCTAGCTTTCCATGGGGGTCAGAGCCCGAGGGTTACATGCCAATCATATCTGCCAGAGGGATGACACTCACATTCCTAAATTTGACTCTACACTAGGTTCACATTTCAGTGGACACTTTCTCAGGGTTTATTTTTGCTTCTGCCACACTGGTGAAGCAGCTAAACATGTCACTGCTCATTGCTTAGATGCCTTTAGGACCATTGGCTGCCCTTGGGCACTTAAAACTGACAATGGCACAGTATATACATGTGCGGCTTTCCAAATGTTTTGTAAAACCTTTCATATTTTCATTACCACATGAATTCCTTATAACCCTCAAGGTCAAGGAATTGTTGAACATGCTCACTGTATGATCAAAATTCAATTACAAAAACAAAAGAGGGAATTCTTCCCTACAAAATTTACACATTATAATAGACTTCACTTGGCAGTATATATTATTAACTTTTTCAATTTTACTAAAGGTAGAACTACAGCGACAGAAAGACAATTCAATTAGGTACAGGAAAAAAAAGGTAGGAAGAGTCCTTTGGAGAGATCTTCATACTGGATGATGGAAGGGACCCAGCCTGCTACTTGAGGGTATGCTTGTGTTTTCCCAGAGAATGCTGAATGGCCTATTTGGGTACCAGAGCACACTGTATAGCTGTATCATGAGCCCAGTTCTGAAGGAGCTGTTTCCACCTTTCAAGAAGTTGATGCTCAGGCCTATGACAATGATGCATCATAGACTGCTCTACAGCTGATTATCAAGAATGGGGCTAGATCCAATGTGGGGCCCATGAAAGAAACTGACCCAGAATGCCCAAGAGATGGTAACTAAAAATGTGAATTGAAGGTCTGAGTATGTGACAAAGTATATAGAGATAACTGAGCTTACAATAAAATACAACCAGCATTTTAAAAATAAAATCAATATCCTTAAAACAAAATATAACAAATGTATACTAATTATAGATAAAGATTTTATTCCTTCCAAATTCCTCTTGTAAGAGATCTCTGTTAACTGATGAACAACAAAATCTGACTAGTCTTTATAGTTATACATTCCTAAAATTGTAAAAGAGTTACTATAATTCAATTTGTTCAAAAATATATTTATGTGTACTCTGATTTTGTATCCATTTCTCATTTGCCCAATCTGTTAAGCTGTGTACTTGCTTTGTCTGTTTGTTCTATCTGTGAACAGCTGTTTTTTATTTGAGCTCAATGATTTTTCTCTTTTCCTTTTTCTTTTGCATTTTTGGATCATTTATTCAAAATTTAATCTGGGTTATAGATTTAAAAGCATGCTTCTACCTGGGTTACCATCTGGTCAAGCATATTAAATTTGGTTTTCTCACAGGTCATCAAAAAATTGTTAAGATAATTAAAAAATCCCTTAGTGTGAGGAGAAATTATTGGCCAGGACTCTAACAGGAGCCCCAGTGATGTCTGTAGCCTTATGAGACACCCCAATAAATGTTATTAAAGTATTGTATTATGTCTGCAGTACTCATTCATCTAGGATAGTTTTCTAGACAATAAGATTTTTGAAGATGCTCTTGTACAAAGATTTCTATATGCCTATGATGATTGTTATTGTTTTTATAGTATATTGAATGTGTTCATGCCTGCAGATGTGTAGGTCTTCTAAGGTGTGGAATGAGGATTGCTCATAGTGATAGCTTTTTTTCTTTCAGATTCAGACCTCTCCCTTTATGTGAGATATATACCATTAAAGGTCAACAAGTTAGGTAACAGTTTCTTATGTAGTACATAGAGATGATGGATTAAAAGGGTTATGTTATGTCAAAATGAAAATTTAAGTGTTCCAAAATGTCATCATGACTGTCATGCTGTAATGTTATATGCAGCTTTTGATTTCTAACTTTTTGTGAAGAATATGTAACTTGTCTGTCATATTCTGTAGAGATTTAAATTTCCTGATTCTCCAGCTAGGGCAGAGTCAATATACACACCACCTCCTCTTGGAAATCCTCTCTGATCAACCAATACAACCCCTTATCTCCATCCTATCCTCTTTTCAAATAACACGATCTATTTTATTCTAACCCAAACCCCAACACTAACCAGAACCCATACTCTAACCAGAACCCAAACCCTCTAACCACAACTTCCTTGCTATGCCTTTTCCCTGTTTAACCCTAACCCCCAAACCCTACTCCTTCTCCTTTGTGCCTCTGCCTCAAATCTGTCCTGCAAGCTCTGTGCACCTGTAACCTCAAACCTGGGGTAATGAGTAGGCAAACAGGGTCTGGTTACTAATGTCCATACATGTACCCAGTTGAGATTACTCCATTATGTACAATCAAGGGAGCAGTGGCCTGACAACACAGAACTCAAGAAGCACAAGGCACCATGCCCCATAGGGCAAAACTAGGTGCTTCTGGAGAACAGGTTAGGGTTAGCCCTAATCCTAACCCTATAAAGCACCAGTTTTCACTTGGCAAAGAGTGTATTTGAGGGTTCACATGTTGTGTGTGGAATGGGAGGTCAGGGTGACTTCAAAGAGAAGCAGCTGCTGAGCTGTGCCTCTTGCTTTGAGCAGGAATTTGCTAGATGGGCACTCCAAGTAAAGATAGGTCTGTAAAGGCTTAGAATGAAGGACAATGCAGCCTTCTGACCTCACATGAGAAATGCAGGGAACAAAACCCAGAAGCTAGGGGCACACAGGGTCTCGCTAAATTGTTCAACCAGGCTTCAAAATTGAAATCTTGCTTTGGCCTCTGGAATAGCTGATTACAAATGTGGTCCACTGCCTCCCAAAATTAGATTTCCTAAGGATGTGAACAGATTATAAATATTAAGCAAATATCATTCACTCCTAATCATATTTAAATGAATAAACTTTATTGTCTAAAATTCTAGTTCATATTAATATAAAAAAATAGTTAAAATAAGGTGTTAATGTAGCAGACTTCACTTAAACAAGGACAATAAGGGATCCTCCTACCCAGCAGCGCACAATTTCAGAGCAGGTTCACAGAGGTCTGTGAGGTGAACAGAGGCACCTACACAGCCTCAATGGTCACATAGTGGCTGAATTCATAATCCTGCACCTGACCAGCTTTAGCTGAGAATCCCAATCATCCCAAAGTAGATTTTTAGTCACTTTAAGTAGTAAATCAGATGGTAGTTTGCTTCTAAGGACTCAACTATGGTGATCAATTCTAATTTAACAACCCTGCTAATAAAACTTTGGTGAAATAGCATATTTAATTTACACATTTTTAGAAAAACTATAGTTTTTAGATACTTCACATTCATAACACGTTAACATATTTTCAAGTCAAATCAAATTTGTGGGGATGGCTATATCTCCACCTCGCCTGCCCTGCACCTCATCAAGTCAGGAGGTAGGCTGTGGTCACAAAACCCATCCATGAGGCCAACACCCTAACCCAAATCTCAGGGAGAAGTAGTTCTGTTCACAATTCTTATCTACAGGATTCACACCCCCAAACAACCTCGGGGACGCGGATCCCCAACACCACCGCTCTACACAGTGGAGCTGCCCCTCCCCACCCACTTGCGCGCCCACGAGGGCACAGACGCCACGCGAGGGCAGAAAGATCCAGGTGCCCTGTGAGATCCAGGCATCTACTTCCTGGCCTCCTGCCCACCACCTGTGGGGACTGAGACCATGCTCCTTCCAGCCTGGACTCAGGCCCAGCGCCCGCTCTTCCTCAGGGCGCAGCCACGCCACTTCTGCGGCCAGGCAGGCACCTGCGTTCCAGGGCCAGTGCCTTGCCCCGGTCCTTCTGCCCCAGCTTCCTACGCGGGAGAGGAGCTCACCAGAGTGACGCCAGAAGGTCAGCGACATCAGCTGCTGAACCCACAAAGCACTAGCCAGCAGAGGGACTCAGAATCCTCCAATTCCACAGAAGCGGGACACCACAATCCCCACTTCCCTGCCAAAGTACCGTGGCACCCGGAAGCCTCTGCGTACCTGTAGGACTGCGGCTCCCATAAGCCTCTACGCAGCCGCAGGACTACGATACCCAGAAGCCTGTGCAGCTACAAGACTCCGGTACCCAGAAACCTTTGTGCAGCCGCCATACTGAGTATCCGCGCGACTGTGGACCAAGGCTCTCTGAAACTTTCCCACGTAGCTGGGCTAGGTACCTGGAAAGTCCCATACAGCCTCGGGACTGCGATACGCCGAAGTGAAGTCTCTGTGCAGCCGGAGGTCTCTAGTATCTGGGAGCCCCCACACAGCAGCGGCACTTCCTGGGAGGTCCCGAGCGGCCTAGGGACGATACCCAGGGGTCTCTGCGTAGCCGCAGGACTGCCCGAAGGCCCAGGGTGGCCACAGCTTCAAGATGCAGGATCTAAAAATCTTGGTATTACATTATACCAGGACTACAATACCCTCGTAAACTCTACCAAGGATTACGATATCCGCAAAACTTGGCTTGGTCAAAGTACTGCAATACCCAGAAGAGGGCGTGCTCACTCAGGAACTACGTACTGTATCTAGAATCACAAAGGTTCACTCCCACCCCACTCCCACGCATCCTCCAAAGGCTAACGAGGTAACCTCAGTCTGCGGATTTACTGCCCACGACGTAAGGATGGCGTCCACCTGTATTTACAATACCTGAGTCCTCAGTGCGCTGTGGTAGGTTGTGTGAGGCCCTTGGTCCAGAAGGGGTCTTTTTCTAGGACGTGGTTTATTTTTAGAAGCCTTATCAGTACATTGGGAACATTTGCCATTTCAATGATTCAGGTGACCAATTTCCCCAGTGATTCTTCGGACTTTCGTCTTAATGTTTTTCCTCTGCCAAAGTTGATTTTTAGTTCTGTGGGTCTGATTTTTTAATTCTACATTTTAAGTTACAGTTAGGAAAATAATGCTTTCTTTCCTATGGATGCGACTTTCCTTTTCATGTCCAGATTTCTCAGTACTTTGATTTTTGTCCAGTTATATATAATCACAGTAGTTTTAACTTTTTCCTAGTTTAACCAATTCTCTTCCCTATGGGCTTTTGTCCTGAAGATGATGAAGTCCACACACATAGTAATGGGAAATAAACCAAGCAGAGTTTACTAGAAAGACACCAAGAAGAGCTCCAAGGGTGGATGCTGAGTAGGAGTCCAAGTTAAGGGGATTATATGATGCTTTATTTGGCTATTTTGGTGAACATGCAAAAATAAGACAAACAATGCAGTTGCCACTTTAGCTAGGAATTTGACATCAGGAAGAACAGACTTCCCTTGCATTGTTGCTCCCCAGGGCATATCTCAGTTTACCCAGGTTCTTGAATTTTGAAACAATGGGTTGCTAGTCTTAGTTAGGTTTCTGATGTTAGAGGAACAGACTTCTCCTGCTCCCCTGCCTTTTGCTCCCCCTGACTTTAGTGAGGCTCTTTTCCCTTGTATTCTGATTCTTCCAGGGCTTACTCTCAGTTTACTCATGTAATAATCTGCCCCTCTATCTCTGAAAGTAAGACCTAGCTGCAAATCAATCAGCTTTGAAAACTAGAGATAAAAAAATGCCAGCCCTCAATCAGCCTATCTTTGCCTTACCGTATAGAGTAGCCACCAAGCAAGAGAACATTGATAGAGGGCAGTTTTAGTTTTCTGAGTCAATTTATTTAAAAACACAAGTCTTTATCCTTTGATGCATGGTTTACTCATGACATAAATGCAGTGTAACAGAGTAGATAATATACCTTGTTACATTCATACTTGCACATGGGTCAATTCCTAGGGTTTTTTTTAACCATTCACCCCCACCATCTTAACCTTTTGATTATGGAGGATTGCTTTCTTTTTCTATATGAAATGCTATGGTTTCAATTTCTACATTAAACTCCATATTGAAATGTAACCCTTTTGTAAAATACTAAAAATTGTGCTGAGGGAGGTTTCACGAAACGATTGGGTCATGAAGGGATCAATCCATTCATAGAGTGATAATTTAATGGGTCATCTGGAAAGTGGCACTATTTGAAAAGCTCGTCTTAGGCTCAGTCTTTGTATGCACTCTCTATCCTCTCTGCTCTGCCTTAGGGCTCTGCAGAGTGTCCTGACCAGCAAAAAGCCTGTCACTAGATGGGGCTTCTCAACTTTAGACCTCCAGAACCATGAGCTGAATGAAACTTTATCCTTTACAAATTACCTAGTCTGTGATATTCAACAGTTTTCTAATATGTTAGAAATTCAGAGAGTGTACAGATATAGCTCAGTGGCACATAGTTGAAAAAAACCTTAAGCTAGATAACTGTTAGTGGGAAAGGGGTTGTTATAGTTTGTGTCTGGATTTCCCCCGAAAGCCTCATATAGTCATGGGGTGGGCTTCTAGAGTTAATGATTAGGGTTAGGGTTAGGGCATTGTCCAATATTGAGATTATGTCTTTTTTTTTTTTTTTTTAATTTTTTTGTTTTTTTTCTCCGGTACCGGGAACTGAACTCACGACCTTGCGCTTGCCAGGCAGCCGCTTTTGCCGCTGAGCTAAATCCCCAGCCCCCAATATTGAGATTATGGGTGTGAGTGCTACACACAGGTAGTGTGCATACAATGTAAAAGAGGAAAAGAGGCTTGCTTCCCCTCTCCCTTTTTGGCTCTTGCTGCTTTTGCTATATTCTGCAGTGATGAACTGTTGCCCTCTGCCATGTGCCACCCTGCCTTGGAGCCAGCTGAGTATGGACTGAAACCTCCACAAACAGTGAGCTAAATAAACCTTTCCAGCCTTAATTTTGGGTGTCAGTTATTTTCTTTACTGGAAGAAAAGTAAAGGCAGAGGTCAATACGAACATTTTAGCTTTAAAAAACTGTGCCACATGTACATGTTTTCACTGACAATAGAAGTTTGAGGGATTCTACATCATTTTATACTTTTATATTAACATTTTCCTCTGAGTAAATCAGAATTCATCACTTACATTTCAGATGTTTCTTTTTGTTAGAACTTTTAAAAAGCTTTATAAGTACATTTCACATATTTTGCTATATAGAAAGGCACTATTGTATTTTCTTAATTGATTAGTGTCATAAAGACTATCCATATGACTTAGCTTTTATAAGGCTTAGGAAATCTAGTCAATCAATGACAAGAATAGCTCAAATTTATTACAACTATGAGTCATGATATTGATGTAAATGTTCTATATTGAGTTGTATTTTGATAGTGAATAAAATTTATCAAAATGTTGACTTTGGGTTATGTTAGATTCCAGGAAGAAATTCAAAGACATTTGTTTTCCATTCTTTCTTTCTTCCTTTTCTTGGCAGGGTCTTGCTATGTAGTGGAACTGTCCTTTAACTCACGGTGTATCCCAGGCTGGCCTTGAATGTTCAGCAATCTTTCTGTCTCAGCCACCCAAGTGCTGGTACTACAGGCATGCACCACCATACCTGACTTGTTTTCCACTTTGTCTTAGGAAAATGTTGTATGTGTTACAGAACTACAAAAGAGAAAGGCAAATAAAGCATTGTGGAAAATTTGAATCTTTTAGGTATTCTCAGTATAGTATGAAATCATAAAAAATGGTAACTTTCCAGTTGATAAACTTAGTAGACACTACCTTAGCTAGATGATGAAGGCAAACATCACCAGGGATGTTGCATGGTATCATGTGCACCTGGATATTATATAATGATAAAGGTATTTCACTTTTGTGTCATTCATTCAAAAAACCCAAAACTGCAGTTAAGACATGAGAAAAATATCAGAAAAATGCAAATTGAGAGACATTGTACAAATGTCTGATCAGTAACCTTTAAACTATTAAGGTCATGAAAAAAAGAAAAGGCTGAGAAGCTGTCATAGAAGAGAAGGCATGATGTGATATGATGACTAAATGTAATGTGGTATCCAGGTTTGAATCCAGTGGAAAACTTGATAAAATTCAAATAAACCTGGACTTTAGCTAATAGTAAGATAGTTGTATTCCTGATTCCTTAAAATTTGACAGGATTATCTCTGAGACAGCAGGGTCTGTGAGAAGAGTGTGAGTCTGTGCACTATGCTTCCTCCGTTGTCTCCAGGACAGCAGGGCCTGTGCTAGGAGTGTGAGACTGCACTCTACACTTCCTCCATTATCTCCAGGACAGTGAAGCCTGTGAGATGAGCGTGAGCCCATGTTCTGCACTTCCTTCATTACCTTTGGGACAGCAGGGCCTGCGAGAGGAGTGTGAGTCTGTGCTCTGCACTTCCTCCTTTGCCCCAGGAAGACAGTATCTTCAAGACAAGTATAAGGACACATGCTTTTGTTGTGTGGACTGAACGGATCCCCAAGACCTGAGACCCATTGCGGCAGACTCAGGGGTGCACACACACCTTTGGAGGGCAAGTAATCAGTGAAACCAGCAACTATGGAAGCAACAATGAGGAGCCAACAGTTGGACTCACCAATAGAGGACTAGTCCCACATCCAAGGCCAAGATCAGCTCCATAACCAGCATATTTCTGGGATTAAATACAGGCACTATTACAGAACTGTAAACACCAAAGGTATTTTATTACTTTCATTCTCCCTTGTTTGTCTGCTTGGCTACCCCTTTTTTTTTGGTCTGGCTGGATGTCATCTTGTTTTGTTTTGTATTCTGTAGTTGTTTTTGTATTTGGGTTTTTTTTCTCCTCTCTTCCTCTCCTATAATTTTTTCCTTCTTTTCTTCTTTTCTTTTTCACTCTCTTTCTCTTTCTTCCTTCTGTTTTTCAATGTTTAGTTTCCTTATCTTTACCTTTCTTTTACATCTGTAGATGTTCTTTTTTTCCTCAACTACTTCTTAAACTTATACTTTAAAGTGAGTAAACATTATCTCTGCCCTTTCTGACTACTCCTTCATATTCTTTTTCATTCTTTCCCTCCTGTGTCCTCCAGTTTCCCAAAATTTTGGTGTTCATCCCTTTATCTCCAACCTTGATGCTAATATATTTGACCTCACTTATCTCTTTAGCATATCCCTTACCCATCTTAACTCCCCTATCACCAGA